GGAAGGCAGGTGGGGAGGCAGATATTGCTTGGAGGGAGAGTCCCCCTCCCTACAGGAAGCCGTGACCACGTGTCACGGGAGGGAGAATGGCCGCGGATTCTGTTCGTAACCCGATCTGGCGTTCACGAACGGAGGCAAAATTTTGCGAACGGAGCTGTTCGTGAACCAAATTGTTCGTGAACAGAAGCGTTCGTGAACTGAGGTACCACTGTACTTTCATACTGCCATCATGATGTTTATTATTGCTTTACCTGTTGAAAGCTGCTTTAGGAGTCTACAAAGCAAAGCAGGGTCAGCAACCTGTTCAGATGCCATCGTGCAAATTTATACGATAGTATGGGCATGCACACGTTGATTTGATACTCTATTCCAGGGACAGAGAATATACTATGTAACACTAATTGGCTAAAAATCTTCTTGAGATCTCATGAGATATTGACCATATTAAAATTACTTAATATTCTATTTAGTTTTATGAGGAGGGGAAAACACATAATAAACAGTCACTGCATTGCCAGTCCCTGGAACACCATATTAAATATTACTGAATATTGAAGTAAACCAGATATTTCAACATACCTTTTCCTTTTGAAAGGCGACTTTGGCATATCTGCCACAGGAATCATCTGTTCTCCTGGACGTACCCACATGATGGGACCATCATCACTATCTTTCCGACTTTCTAGTTTCAGACTAGAAAGAGTCCCCCATGGTAAAGTACACTAAAACGAAATGCTTATGTTATTTTCTGATACCACTGTTTTAGACATTCTAGTTATTTTACAAAATGAAAAGCACTGCGTATCTGACATTATATAGCACTATCAGCAATTTGATTAATGTAAAGCGTTGAAATATTCAATTGAGATTGAGATTGAAACTGAGACTGAAACATGTACAGTCACAATATTTTCAAATCAAATTGATGAGCATTGCAAATATGCCAATTTCCGCAAGAGACAAACTATTATCTACATGTTATGAGCGCCAGAATTTTAAAACTTTGAGTTTTGCTCGAAAACGTGCAATGAGATGCAGCCTTAAAATAAAATTAAAATAAGAGCTGGCTCTTAAAATATGAATATAGAATACAAGTTGAAGGAACAATTTATTTACCTCCATGCTGTTAATAATTTACTAATTTTGACTGTCTAATTAGATTTGGAAATTAATTTCTGAACAAGAGCATGATTTTATTTGAAATAAAGGTTCCAACACACTCCAATTTAACATCTTACTTTTAAGAAAGGTGAATCTTCCAGCATATCAAGGAACTCTGGAAAATAATCCCCCACTTCCTCATCCACTGCTCCAACCAAGCTGATTTGTCTCATTGGGCCAGCTCTGTATGTACCATGGGAATATGTTCTTTTTACCTAAACAAAAGCCATATAAAGTAAAAAACAGTGCCAATTTACTTTATACCCAGAATAATTTGCCACATTATTTAAATATATAAAATATCCTAAATATTTTCCAAAACTCAAGTAGTACTTGGTGCTAAAAGTTGCTCACAAAACAATAAACATAAATAATTTTAAATACAGATTGCTGACAAGTGCAATGCTAAATTACTATTTCAATATATGCTTAAACAAAAGGACATAATCTCCAATACATTAAAAATTAACTCAAGCAAAAGTGGCAAATAAGACATGATGGCTATGCAACCTTGTAATACAACTGAAAGAGCAATCAGAAATTATCAATTTCTATTTTCAGGTACATAGCTAAAAAAGAGAGAGTATATTCTTAATTTTAAAAAAAGGAAAATATGCATACTTCATACATATTGTAATATCCTATTTTTACAAAATTATTTCTTGAGAATAATTATTTATAACAAAAATCATTCTTTTTGTTAAGGTACAACTTCAGGAGTACATTTCCACTCATAAGAGGCAGCAAATGCTATCTGCTCTAAGTTGTTATCTCAGATTTTTGCCAACACTGCTTTGAATGATGGAATCAAGTTGTCATCACACTGAGGGAAAAAAATTAACACACAGAGAAGATACTTCATAAGGTTATTTAGCTGAATCCTCAGTATCCACTAATAGCCTTTCAACTTACCAGATAATCTAATGCACACACTGAATTCACATACCCTATGCACTAAAATAAAACACTGTAGTAACTAATGCAACAGTGCTAATCTTTAAATCTCTTTAGTCAAAGATTCAAGTTTCTGTGCATTACACAATGCTTTTTCTCATGTGTTTCTTTTCAATGTATGTTCTTCCCAACAGACAAAATGTAATAACCTCTTCACTAGCAGCCGGGCAACAAAATACTGCTCCAAATTCATTAAGCATACTTCTTCCACAGAAGCCCCTATAGCCAATTTTAATTTATTAATCCCCTTTAGTCGACTTTAATTTACTAATCTATCAATTAAATTTTGATGCTCTGTATTTTTACACACAAACTCATACATATATGACTTAGATTTCTGAAGATATTTGAGAGGTTAAGCTGTTTGTTTATTTTGTATAATTTATATACAGCCCCAATTCCACAAACTCTGGGCATCTCACTAAACCAAAAGCAAAACAAAAACATTCAATTAACACAATGGACATAATTAAAACAGCCCAATGGAACAGGTCCTAAAGGCTAAGCAACCATTTAGTTGAACTTGCTGAGCAATTTAAACTGTACTGTAGGGTAATTGCTATATACCTGATTGTGGAAAATAATATATCCAGATTAAAATGAAAGATATTGGTATTGATATGTAAGTAATAACTACTCTGATTTTAAAAAATTATTAGTCATTCTTTTTACAATAATTTGTTTTAATATTTTGTCCCCAAAAAAAGTAGATAAAATCAAGCTTATTCCACATTTCTTAAACTACCCTTTTCCTACATCTACAATGACATCAAATAAAAAGCATGCTATGGAGCCGAAAGTTGTGACAGTGGTGATTATAAAACACTTTTCCAGCCATTTACAATAAGCAATTAGCTTGTTGGTATGGAAAGTTATCACATAAAATATTCAGGCCTGTATATAGATGGTAGAGAATGCATGGAATGCCTACAGGCAAGATTGCCCTGTGTTATCTGCTCTAGCTACATTATAAGAAAAATCATGAACTTTATACTCCATCAGCAACTTGATTCAGACAGTTGAATACAAAAAGAGATCAGACAAGCAGATAGACACCTACCTCTTCTTCTCTCTGAGCTATTTTCATTTCAGCTGTACATTACAATTAATACAATCTAATTTGTTTTCATTCGCTCCCATCCTTCTCTTCCCTCCCTCTTTTCTCTTGTGTCTTTAGTATAAAGTCTGCAGGTAAAAACTACTGTAAACATGCCACATCATGATTAAATGGTGAGTTGTTGTCATCTGCTGGAATTTAGAGACAGTTTTGAAATGATTTTTTGTGGCTAAGCAATCCTATCCTCACTTCCTTTTCCTCCTCCCCTTCTCAACTGAAAGTTCTGTTGAGGCAATCACCTGATTGCTTTGTTGCTGGCTTGTCAGTAAGCAGTTTGCTTTTAATTGTCTCATATATTCTGTATCACTTAACAGTATAAAATACTTAATAAATATATATTTTTTAAAAACTGGAAATAAACACAAGGTTTAACCAGCAGGAGGCAGCAACTAATATAAACTCTGCTTTCACTACCACAGTCAAGACTGAATCTATATGAATGTGAGCAATGAAAACTAGTGTTATTTAATAAGCACATGTGTCGGACAAATGTTGTACATTATGAGAAATGATTTGGTTAATATCTTGATAAGCTATAATATGCTTTGTTTAGTTTTGGCTTAATGAAATGTGTGAATCCAGTTATTCTAGTTTACAAACCATGATCTATGGCCTAGTATTATGTATGAACTAGGCCACAGTGGCTTGCTCAGCATGCCAACATTAAAACAAATTATTCTTGACTTCTGAATCCAGCCAATAAGTGATGTTTCACATCACTTTTGAGAAATTCTTCCAAGACTTCCAGACTCATAAAAGATGTGTTGCATACAGTGATACCTCGGGATACGAACGCCTCTGCTTGCGAATTTTTCGGGTTACGACCAGCTCTGGCCCCAAAATTTTACCAAATTGCCTCGGGTTGCGACCAAATTCGGGCGGAGGGCGGAACGGATTAACCGGATTTACATTGAACCCTATGGGGAAATTTGCCTCGCGGTGCGACCACATTCAGAGGGCGGAACGGATTAACCGGATTTACATTGAACCCTATGGGGAAATTTGCCTCGCGGTGCGACCACATTCAGAGGGCGGAACGGATTAACCGGATTTACATTGAACCCTATGGGGAAATTTGCCTCGCGGTGCGACCACATTCAGAGGGCGGAACGGATTAACCGGATTTACATTGAACCCTATGGGGAAATTTGCCTCGCGGTGCGACCACATTCAGAGGGCGGAACGGATTAACCGGATTTACATTGAACCCTATGGGGAAATTTGCCTCGCGGTGCGACCACATTCAGAGGGCGGAACGGATTAACCGGATTTACATTGAACCCTATGGGGAAATTTGCCTCGCGGTGCGACCACATTCAGAGGGCGGAACGGATTAACCGGATTTACATTGAACCCTATGGGGAAATTTGCCTCGCGGTGCGACCACATTCAGAGGGCGGAACGGATTAACCGGATTTACATTGAACCCTATGGGGAAATTTCCTTCGGGTTACGACCAACTCGGGATACGCCCAGAGTCACGGAACGGATTAAGTTCATATCCCGAGGTACCACTGTACTTTGAAACATGTGTAATCAACAGAGCCTAAATTTATAGTTCCTTTTCATAACAGCCTTGCAACTCATTCTGTGAATAAATGCAAACAATTATTTTCAGGAGAGTAACTAGAGTGCCAGATTTACATATTGCACCAAACAATTATTTGGTTTAACAACAATTTACTGAATAGCGGGATAGCAGGATTCACACATACTATGTCTCTCAAAATCCTGTTAACTCACACCCAATACTCCAAGATCATGCCTTCAAAATTCAATGTCAATATGGCCAATTTTCAGGAGTGTAATTTTGGGAAGGATTTTTTTGTTTTTCTCCTTAAAAACAAGGAAGGAAGTGGAAGACATCTGGGAGACAAAGTGCTTAATTTCTACTAATAAACTACCCTTCATGACCAGAAATCATACCACCACCATTCAAGCCATTTTATTGCTTAAATTCAGTGACATGATTTCAGGCTATTTTGGGACCTTTTAAGGATGGACATGGGAGTACCTTTCCTCCCAGAGGCTTCCCAACTTTTATTTCCACCCCAAATGACCCCCCCCAAAAAAGTAAGTCCTGTGACATCACCTGATCCAAAGAGTTGTGGCCCCCACCTGGGAAAAAGCCTACATCTTTATTAAGCCATGATTTGTAAATCTACAATTACTTGGTTCATATATTATACTAAGCAAAACAAACACACAAAAAGATTAAGCTTGCAATACATATGATTAAAATAAATAAAAATGCAGGAGGCAGCATGTAAACCTGAGACTCTTGAGCTAACTTACAGTAGTGCTTAAATGTTTGTGAACCCTTTTGAATTTTCAATATTTCTGCATAAATATGACATTGCTGCCTAGAGTCACTTGTATAGTGAGATGGGCGGCATATATAAATTTGAAAAATAAATGAAATAAAATAATCATGATCTGTTCTCCACGCAAGTCCTAAAACAAGATAAAGAGAACCTAATTTAAAAAATGAGATAAAAACATTATAGTTGTTCATTTATTTATTGAGGAAAATGATCCAAAGCTACATATTTCTGTGTGTGGCAAAAGTGTGTGAACCCTTGCTTTGAGGACAGCAAAAACTGCAACTAAACATTTCCAATAACGGTCAATCAATCCTGCACATTTTCTTGGAGGAATTTTAGCCGTTTCCTCCTTACAGAACAGCTTCATCTCAGGGATGCTGGTAGGCTTTCTTGCATGAACTGCCCACTTCAGATCCTCCCACAAAATTTCTATAGGATTACGGTCAGGACTTTGACTTGGCCATTCCAAAATATTACCTTTCTTCTCCTGTAACCATTTTTTGGTCATACGACTTATGTGTTTTGAGTCATTGTCATACTGCACAACCCACTTTCTCTTGAGCTTCAGTTCATGGACAGATACTATACCCTGACATTTTCCTGTGAAATATGCTGGTACAATTCAGAATTCATAGTTCCATCAATGATAAGCCGCACTGGTCCAGGGGTGGCAAAGCAGGCCCAAACCATGATACTACCACCACATTTTACAGGTGAGTTAAGGTTCTTATGCTGGAATGCAGTGTTTGCCTTTCATCAAACATAACACTTTTCATTCACACCAAAAAGTTCTATTGCAGCTTCATCCATCCACAGAACA